TGAGCTCGGAAGAGTGATACTGTTTTGATGGAAATAAAAGATTTATTAAGAATTTTTTTGTCTTTATCATAATGCACCCAGCCTCGGGTAGAGGCAGGCCCGCAACTGAACGAACTGTTTTAAATATATTTGATTTATATATTTCTGGTTCTTCGTAACAAGTTTTTTTTTTTGATATAAACTTGATGAGAAGGGATTAAAAATTGCTGTATGATACAGAGTGTCTGTCAGCGAGATAGCGTAAAACTGTTGCACCTAGTAGTTCGTCTTGGAGTTAAGTTCCGACAAACGGATTTCCGCCTCTTGTGCAAATAACCCGCGAGTGCTTTTCTTATTCTAATAATTCGTGTTGGAGTACAATTATTTATTTAGAATTAATTCCAGTTGTTATAGCTAGATAAATAACATATACTTAAATATTAGTAAATATTTAAAATGTGTCAATGCGAACGATAATTAGGAAAAGACCATATGTTATCTACTTTGTTATTAGGATAATTAATTTATAAGGTCATTAAGTTGTTTAGAAAATAATTTATAAGGTAATTAAACGACAACTGGGAGCCCGTCTCCTGAACTTCTTAGTTTCTGGGATAAACCACAATTCATATTTAATTAATAATAATTAATGAATATAAATAAAATCATTTTAATTTCTTAATTATTAATGAAATCTAATTAATTAATCATTTAAAATTTATTAATTATTCATGAAATATAATTAATAATCATTTTAATTTGATAATTATTAACATATTTTTTGATTGATTATTTAATTTTTGTAATTAATAATTTTAATCGTAATCTAAAATACAACAAACAGCTTATGAGCGTATTAATAGTATCTAATGAGGTATTCCACCACGTCTACTGACAAAGTCACGTGATCAGCACGAAGATTCATATGCAGAGTCGCATGACAGCCGAAAAGGCGTAGAAATATCCCTCCCTTTTCCCTTTCTCCCTAGCTTAGTGAAGGTTTAAACTTGCAACCTGAACTGTCCTCCCACTGTTTGGCGCCTATCGCTCAAGTAGATGAACGCGATTTCTGGAAGTTCGCCAAGTGCCTGTTATCTGAGTACCCCCGATTGGGGTCTTAAACTGTCTTATATGAAGAAAAGTGATGTAATGGTAAAAGTCATTTTTTAAGATTTTAAATTCCAGCTGGTGATATGATCTAAAGCAATTTCCCGAATCCGTCATCAAGATAAAAGGAAAGCTATTTTTTTCAAAGCAGCTTTGAATGGAACTATTTCTGTATGGACCACACAATAAATAAAGATTTAAAGACCTTTTCCAAAAGGCATTGTAAATATTTAGTGATAATTTAGTTTCCTTAAACCTGTTAAAAAAATTCTGTATCTGAAATTTTAGCAAATTATTGATATCCAGTTTAGTCATGTCTGAGGTTGACCTCTTTATGTGTCCGAATTTTTTATTACTGTGGCTTTGATGAGGAGTTTTTTTTTTTTTTTTTTTGATCAGATTGGGCATTTTAGACTCAGTGGGCTTATTCGCATAACTATTACGTAGTTGATTTGTAATAGTATAGAAAATGTCACGTAATTTATCTTCCAAGGAAGAAATATTGCCAAGGTTCTTAGATGCATCAACTGGCCTAGAATATTATTGAAGAAAATGAGGATGGAAGTGATCATGAATGTTTAGTTCATATGATAAAGTTTCTCAGAAACTGATATAGATTTTGAAAGGGAGAGTGAGAATGACATAAATTGCTTTATTGGAAAAAAAATCATCGGGAACGAAAAAAAGATTTTGCCTAGTGAAAAAGCATAAAAAAAAAAATGAAAACGGGCTGCGCATAATGTGAAAAATATTTGTATGTGGAACACACAGCACTTAGTATAAAATACTGCTATCATTTGTTGTTGCATTTTTTCTCGGTGTCTGTAGTACTAATAACGAAAATAAAGAATTTATGCGGAGTAAATAACAGAGCTAATAAAGAAATGACACAGTATTTTTTTCCTATGCTAATATAGAATACAGTTGTCTATTCTTTTAAGAATTTTAATTTGTAAAAGCATTTGCAGAAATTAAAAATTTTAATGAGCATATTTTTTTTTATTTTTTAAGTTCGACCCTAAAATTTACTATTGGCACAAATTTTTCTGAAGATTTTTCTGCACAGATTTTGCTACCCAGTACGCACGCTCGTGTAACTCATATGAGCGTGTGCGCTCGCATGTTAAGTGTAAATATGTGTGAGCAAGGAAGAGTACTTCTGGCGCTTTTTACAAGGGTACATTTACAATTGGATTTTTGTCAATTTTCTTTTACTTTTTAAGTGAAAATGGTCGATGTGTACATAGATAAAGTCAAGGGAGTGTGCAGTGCCATTTTTGTGCAATTCAGGGATTTTTTTTTTAAGTGACAATAAGTCGATGTGTACATGGATACCAAGTATGGGCAATTCTTAAAAAACGTGCCAAGCAGTGTGGGAGTTCCCAGAGTACTTGAAGCAGAAGTATTGGAAGGCAGGTAAGAGGCCTTCAGCAAGCAAAGAAATTATTTGGAATTTTCTTAATAATATCACTTCAAAAGTGCTCTTTTTCTAACCAAAAAATATTACTGTGTTAATAAGATAAAAAATATCACTGTGGTTAAGGAAGTGATCAAATGTTAAAGATTTGCAATGTTTATCAGATAGGCTACTTGGCAAACTTTCTGGCAACCTCCTGTAAAGTTAGCTAACTTAATCACCTTCTGATAGTTAAATTAGTTATAGCTAACTTAATCACCTTCTGATAGTTAAATTAGTTAAACAGTGTTAGTTTGAATTCTGGTGAATGGGCTGGTTGCAAGAGTGTTTTTATTATATGTGATGTAAAGATGAACTATTTTCTTAGAAAGCCCTCCATAAAGACATCCTTCCTTTGATAATATATTTTGCTGCATTCAGTGAAACATTTTAGCATCTTTTATCCTTCTTTCTTTTGAATGTATCTATGAAAATTAAATCTGATAGTAAGTAGCTCTTCAAATCAAAATAAATATAAACAAGATATGATACTTTTGCATTCTTCAATCAGTGCTCCCGTAAATTTGCCATTCGTTTGGTGTCAACTTTTTTGCCAACTTAAAACTAGCCATTTATAAAATAAGTCGGGATTCTGAAAATTGCATGGAACAGCAACAAATTAACGAAATTAAAAAGGCAAGTAACACCCATAATGAAATGCCCAAAATTTCATAAAACAATTACAGATTTACTAAATTAAAAATGCAGCTAACATTCACAATCTTAACTTTCTATATTCTTGGTTTGTGTGCACAATAACCTGTCTTAGCTTAAAAAAAATTCGGAGAATTGCAGAATTCTTGACACTGTAGGGCAAACTGTCACTGCTCTCCATGTATACATCAACCTGTTTTAAAAAAAGATTGTTTTGATTCAGAAAAAGTTATTTTGACTTTTTTCCGTACTAGATATGCGTATTTCTCATAGATAACTGCATCAATCATTAGTTGTATTCAGACGCATATTGAGACAATAAGAACTGTAAGAATGATGAAACTTATCAAATGTATAGAATTTAAAACAGCAATAAATAAAAGGAAAGCTGTTATAAATTATATTCGGTTATTCTCAAACAAGTTACCGCCTTGCATTCGAATGATTTGCTGGCAATCTTTAACCCCTTCAGGACAGATGTATCATATATGCATCAGCAGCTAATCATCTTACCAGATGGCATGTTGCTTAGCGCACTGTGATTCACCAGTGTATCACCTGCCTGCTATCGATATTTGGGTCTGATGCATTTATGACATACCCTTCTGCAGAGGTTTTTTTAATTCAGCAACGGGCCGCCACAAAGGGGTTAACAGTACATTTTCATATGGTTCTATTATTTGCTTCATAAAAATTCCAAAAAGGTGCTTATTACATGCTAGCACATAAGAAGTGTGATCTGTAAGTTGTTACATATTTGTTATGTTCCAAGTTGCCTACTTTTGTGTGATAGTGCTTTGCCCAGTGATTTTTCTTATCGCTAGGTGGATAACGAGAAAGTACCTAAAGTATAATTATTTTGAGATTTTCAAGTTCAAAGATTTTTAATGATAATTTTATGGGGGGTGTTAAGAGAAAATATCTTTTTTTGGAAATTGTTTTAGAAAGGTCTTATAGAATTTAATGTGATGTCCAAATTAATGAATGATTATTGAATAAAGTATATTTTTTATGCAGGAAGATGAAAAATCGGGTTGCAGCACAAACCGCCAGGGACAGAAAAAAGGCAAGAATGGCAGAACTTGAAGAACAGGTGTCAGAACTTCAAACAGAAGTAGGTGTAAATAGATTTTTTAAAGAATATCAGAAAATGTGTACTGATAACTTTTCATAATAACTATTGATACAGCTATGTTGTATATAATGAGTTTAATATTTCTACATGACAATACTGTGTAATTTTATGTGTTGAAGAGTTTGGATAAAAGATTCTGGGAAATCTCAGATAAGCGGCACTTGGCGCAATTTTTTCCGCCATCTTGAATTGCGAAAAACTGCCATATCCTCAGGAGGATTTTTTTCATGCCAAGAGGGAAATGACATCAAAAGGCACTTTCTAAAAATTCTCTCTTTAGCTTAATATCGTTGAGGAGAAGCTCTGCTGGGGGAAAATCGTATAATTGTAGTGTAAACCGTACACTATAACAAATTCTAAACGATCATTATTGTTGTGATTAAGTAAATGTGCGTACTTTTTTTCATCTTAGTATTTTAGATTGTGATATATAATTCATTATTTTAGGTTATGATATGTATAACTTTTATACTTCTCTTTCTTTAATTCTTACCATTAATTTGAACAACTATCCGTAATAATGGTTATATATGTTTGAAAACACGTTCTTTATATAAATGCAGGGCTAATCTTTATAATATGGTAACAGGTAGTTTGGCGACATTTTGGTAAGGCGATAAAGGTTACTAGCCAGGACTTTAGTAATAATCTGAGAATACAATCGAATCACAGATTATTTTTTCTCGAAAATGAAGATCATGAGACATGTAATGTGACATTTTTCCGGAATTCCGATCATGATTTTAGCTAATAACCTTTAGAAACAATTTCGCTGCTAAAGTGCATATTGCCCACTTTTTGTTTGGTGCTTTTTACAAGAGTAAGAAGAATTGTATTTTTGTAATTTTCTTTGACTTTTCAAGTGAAAATAGTCGATGTGACGTAGATAAAGTCAAGAGTGGGCGCAATGCCATTTTTTTGTGCGAATTGCAAGTGTTTTTTTAGTGAAAAGGTCGACGTGTACATGGATACCGTGTATGTGCAATTTCTTAAAAATGCTCAAGCAGTTTTGCGATTCTCACTTCTCCTCAATTTTGCACATCTTCATCATGATTAACCATTTTTGTTCCATTAAGTTTCTAGTATAAGCGAATTCAGCTAGCAGATTGTTGGAAAAATTTTGAGTAAAAAAAAAAAAAAAATACCTTTCCTCATGAAACAAAATGACATCTAAAACAAAACTAGCAGTTGCTGTAGCAGGGTTGGTCGCCAAATCGCCAATTACCCATAATGTAAAGAATTACCAAGTGCGTACGATCACATAAATGCAATCATCAAAATCGTTAATTCCGGACTTGTCGGGACTTTGGCGATTCCGGATTTGGGATTTTTCCGGATATTGGATCGTCAGTTTCAATCTAGTAAGATGGCATGTAAAAATTATAAAATTAAAAATATGAAATCGGGATTTATGAAATCATGAAATATTTATGATCTAAAGGGTATCAAAATTACAAAACAAAGCTTAATATTTATTTGTTTACCTTTTTAAACATTTCGTTCAATGTATGTTGTTTAAGTTGCTTTGTTTTTTGTGATAATACTTTCTTTTTAATTCCATAGACAGACATAATCTCTTTTTCAGTTACATTCCACTGTTGAAGTCTTGGAACCGCTGTTTGGAGCATTCCGACTAACTTGTCAATCGAAATTTTCTCGTTTTCAGTGACTTTTCTGTCACTTTCTTCTTCGCTATCCGAAGCGAATTATAATGACGAGGCATTTGATTTAAATCATATCAAAGCCAGAGTACATCAAGAGGAAATACCACATTAGTAAGCATTATAAGCCAAATAAAATAGAACATCTGCCCTTAGATAAGGATAGTGTTGACAGATCAACTTCCAATTCATTGTGCTCCGCAGCGTTAAAGATAACAAAAGATATGCCTTTATCCATTTTTTGCAGCAATTCACTTTTGTTTTAATGGACTTCGAAGATACTTTCTCTTTTTGTATATCCTTTACATATTAGTAAAATATATCGGAAATTTTATTGAAATAATCGAAAGTTCAAGCTTACTTTTTAAATTGCTCAACAGTCTGCAAAAAATAATAAGTCGGATCCAATTCGAAGATTAAGGAACACGCAATCTGCAACATTACTGAATGATAGATTAGACAATTTTAGCTTAGCTTATCTCGTCCGTTATACATTAAACGCGCATTCGTAAACGTATTTTGCGCACACGCAAATTCGCAGAAAGTTTATAGCTTTGAAGTCCGGATTATAGATCATTCCGGATTATGGGTGTCCGAATTAACGACTTTTGACTGTATATATCATAGTTAAAGATGAAAGTTTTAAATAAAATATGCATGTATTTCTACAATAATATTACATCCTCGAAATGTATTCCAGACTATTTAATCATCCAATTCGGTTTATATTGGACATTTCAAATTCTTTCATGCAGATAATTTCACTTAATAAGGTTAAGAGAGTTATTTTTATTCCTTTTTCTTGTTTAACTACAAAAAGTTTTTACAAAGAAATGTAATCCTGAATTGAATAACTGTAGGGTAACTAGATTTGTAACAAGCGCTTCTATGGCTTTTCATGACATTATGCAGTTGTTTAAATTTCGAAAAAATACCAATGAAACAGAAATGAATTCGTCTGCATTTATTCCATGAAAAGTTTAATCATAAAACATTATTTTTGTGCAATTTAAGCATTGTCTACAACAGTGGTTTCAAACATGAGTAACACATCAGAAAAATCTATAAATATAAATTTTATTCAAAGATTTGAAGATACAAATTTCATTAACTTTTATTTTATTTTTTTAAATTTATTTTATTTTGTCTGGGAAAAAAATAAAGAAACTTTAGCTCATGTTTTGGCTAACGGTTTAGATTTTTTACTGATATACCCAACTTTTAATCTATAAAATCCTCTATATAAAGAAATTGGTGAAATATGCTTGACGTAGAAAAATAGCAGAATAATGTTTGTTTAATATTTTATACTAACTTATTAGCAAGGCAGATTATCATTTTATTGTATTTTTAATAATTTTATTTGAATATAAATTTGATTATGAGGGTTAAAAAACTGCTTTAAGTCTATAATTAAAAATTGTTATTTAGAAATGAATTATATGTAAATAAATATGGGATAATGCAAGCCATAAGTACAGTAAAAGAGCATATTTTGTAATTTTCTTGTATAAAAATAAAATTATCTTACTCTAATTACAGGTGTAATTAATTTGGTATTTTTCCGTTTTGCCAGCACAAATCTCACCAAGCATACTTTGTTGGCGACAATATACAGTATATGCATAAAAAATGTTAACGAATGTTAGTTCTAAGAATTTTTTATTTTGAAGGCCTAGACATTTTAGTATGGTTTATAATTGGTAAAAAACCAATAAACAAACATAATAAATTTGTAAAAAGACATTAATTTAAGAATTTACTATGCTATCATGGTTCAACAGTCTGATTCGCCGGTTTGTATCACGTGACCCCAAGTGATCTCATCTACGCTACAAAAATATAATTCTCTTAATAATTATCTACATTAATTTCAAGTTAAATCTTAGTTTGGAATACAAGTTTAAATGCAAGAATAATTTCAATTTGTACGAATAGCTTACTCAGAAATTATGTAAAACCATAGTGCTTTACTTCGCTAGTGCACTCTCATTAGAATTGATGAATTTAGCCCTTGATTTTGCCTTTTCTATATTTTCACCTTCGGGTTAGCGGTGTGGGTTGATCTTTACATTATGGTAACTTGGCGTTTTTTTGGCGACCAACTCTCCTACAGCAACCCTCTATTTTTTTTTCCCGCCGCCATTTTGTCTTCACGAAGTAAAGACATGTTTCTTTTCTTTTTATCTACTGAACACTTCTTCCAACAATCTACTAGTCGAATTACACTTATGCTAGAAATTATCTAACAAAACTGCTTAATCATGACAAATATTCACTGCAAAATTGGGAAAAAGTGCACAATACCATACTCCTTACGCGTTTTTTCAAAATAACACATACACATAAACCATGTAAACGCCGACTTATTTTTACTTAAAAAAACATCCCAGAATTGCACAAAAATGGCATTGCGCACACTCTTCACTATATCCATGTACACTGCTTTTTTCTCATAAATTAGAAAAATTTCACGAAAATACATGACAATTTTCTCAATCTTTAAACCCGGTAAAAAGAACATATATGAAATTACCTGATCGCGAAAAAGTATTTATCCTTTCCAAATATGAACATTTCCACATATAAAATAAATAAAATATCCAAAAACTTTTACCTCTAAATCATCTATTACATTATAACACGTCACCAATTTCATACCGCAACCATTACAAATACTTAGTGTCGGAATATTTAAATTATTTCCATGCACGTTTACTTCAACTTAAACGTATACCAAATTCCTACAAACATAAAATTTACAAAATAACTATCATTTAATTAAAATATAATTAAATTCAAAAACACTACTTAAAATATAAATCAGCACATACATTAAAATAATAAAAATTACCTTACAATCCTAATTACTTTAAACTAAATCATTGCTAATAACAATTTTCCCAATAATACCAAATTCCTTTACTTCCACCTTACATTTAGAACAATGCATAAAAATAATATCCTCAAATAATTAAAAATACTAACTTACCTAATCTTCTTCAGAATCTTGATTACGTGTCCGATAAACTTTTCTTCTTTCTGTTTCAGGATCTTTAAAATCATACTTATATTTCACAGCAAGGTACCAGGTAAAATAAATAACTTAATAAAACATCTTTATTTCTATCTCGCACAACCTTAAAGAAACATTTATTACTACCCTTTTCAATACCACTAAATACCCATTTCGAATTCACTTTAGTTACTGCCATGGGATCCAAACACAACACAGAATAAAGCCAAATACAAAATTTCTAGATTTTTTTCCCGATTTCCCCCCTTTTCCGATTAAAGAACCGTAATTCGTCCATTAATATCACATGACATCCCATGATCTCTCATTTCCCTCACACAAAATAATGCGTAATCGGAACTGAGTACTGCTCACATTCATTATTACCAAAGTCCCAGGTAGTAACCTTTATTGCCTCCAAAATGTCGCCAAACTACCAGTTACCATATTGTAAAGATCAACCGCGGTGTGATTGCGTCCTCATTGACTTATTTACCGCGAATGGTCTTAGGGCATAACATTTAATTAGCTTTGTAAATATTCTATGCAATTGTTTGCAAGTACTGAAAGAAAAAATCAATCTGCTTAGAAATGGCTGCGACTTGTTTTGAAAACGATGTGTAAAGGGTTACCAGTGAAGATATTCCATTTGACATCATTTGTACCATTTTTTTTTTTATTGTTTGTGCCGGCAAAATATAAAAGTACCATTAATTTATGTAGAAAATAATTAAATAATGAATTCAAAATGTCTACTGACCAAAGTCATGTGATCATCAGCACAAAGATTTATCTGCAGAGTCATGACACCCAACGCAAAATATCTACGTATAGAAAGAAAATATCCCTTTCTTTTTCCCTATCTTAATTAACATTTGAGCTAGCAACTTAAACACTCTTCCCACTGCTTGGTATCTGTCACCCAAGTTGGCGAACACAATTTCAAGAACCTCGCTAAGTGCTGATAATCTGAGTATCATTAAGCACACGCACAACTGTTTCAAGGTTTTGAAATCTATTGGAGCCCCAATACTTCTGAAATTTTTAAATGAAGTTCTGGTTTCATTTGGAGGTCACCAGTGCCCAAATAAGACAAGTTTCAATTTTTAGTTACATAACAAAGTCACAGTGTTAACAGAAATGTCAAGTATTAACATTCAAAATTCTCTTAAGATAATTGTTAGGATGTTGTACTAGAATTGTATACAGTACAAAGTCCAAAATCCGGAATGATCTAAAATCCAGACCTCAAAGCCACAATGCTTTATGCATGCACATTTAATTTTTCCTTCCATAATAAACATGTGGAGATTTTTACTTAAAAATCCCGATTCTTAATTTCACTTAAGCACTAAATAAAATACCTCATTATGGAAAAACAATCATGTAAGCGTAAATTTGTGAGATTAATAATTTGGCTCCGTAGCTGAGTGTCTCCTTGGCATACATCTCAAACCGAAACATTCACCTATTTTATATCTGTGACGCCGACCTGTCGAGTCATTACTTATTAGATTTCACTTTCGTCACTGCATGTTTATCAATACATGACAGCTTCAGTAATAACTCATGATGTGATGTCTACTTTTTTTATATTAATAATTGAATAACAAGAGTTGGGCAACCTTTTATGCTAACATCAAGCTTGGTGATTATTATAGATTTTTAAATGCTCTTAAGAAATGTTGACGAGGAAAAATTCAACAAAAATTTCTTTTCATATGCTAAAAATAGATTTTGTTAATGAAACTCAGAGGCCAAAAAATACATTTAGTGCTATTTTAATTAAGAATAACTGGTATGTTATTCAGCGTAAACCCAGGAGCAGCGGCAGAATATGTCGGCCCTGGATGGCAAATTTAGGGAAGACTAAATTTTTGGAATTTGAGGAGGCACAGAGCGACAAAATTAAGGGATGAGAAGTTTTTATGATTTAGGGAAAGCATTGGGATCCAAAGTTTAGGTACGGTGAAAATTTAGAACTTAGGAAAGCACTTTGTAGCAGAACTCAGGACCCGTAGAGACTAGCTCAGGTGGTATCGATCCGTCGGCCCTAGATAAAGCCTTAAGTATATGTGGGAGTTTATTTTATTCAGGACTCTGATTAGTTTGAAGCATTTCCGAAAAATAAATGTAGGTATAGTAAATAACTATTACAATTCAGTCTTAATTCAGTATGCAATAGGAGCAAGACAAAATTTAGTGAAACAACTTGGCTTTCATTGACAATCTTGTGATACACAGCCAATAATGTGTAATGGATGCTATTAAGCTAGGTTAAAATTATCTTTACTGATGCTAAGGCATTTCAATTACAGTAGCAGACTGTGCTGCTCCCTGATCTCCTAATTTGATCCAGCTTATTATTACTGCAATTTTATAAAAAACTAAACTTGAACTTTCGATTATGTCGAAAAGAGTTTCCAATTCTGGAGTTGCCAGAGGATCTACAAAGCGAAACCATGTTTCAATGTGCTTTAAACAAAAAGTGGAATTGTGTCAAAAAATGGATAAAGGCATATTTGTCTCAAAATTATGTGAGGAGTATGGCATTGGAAAGTCCACTGTATATGACACAAGAAAAAAGAAAAAGAAACTTTTTGAATTTTTTATGGAAGCATCTTCAAACAACTTGCATTGAAAGAAATGTTTAATAAAGTAAACAAATAAATATTAAGCTTTTTTTAAAATTTTGATACCCTTTAGATCATTTGTTCTTAATTGTTCTTGATTCAACAATTGTTCTTAATTTCATAAATTACGATTTCATATTTTTAATTGTATAATTTCTGCATGCCATCTTACCGGATTTAAATTGATCATCTATTATCCGGAAAAATCCCAAATCCGGAATCGCCAAAGTCCCAACCAGTCCGGATTTCGGACTTTGTACTGTATTTAATAAGTGTCAACATCCAGTTTAACAGATCGTGAAATACTGGTTACTGGATATATAGTACTTCATTTTCTTTGTGTTATACATGTAAGTGTATCTATCATGATTATTAATCATAACTAGCAATGTAGAATCAATCATCATTGAGCACTTATCCAACATATAAAAATAATAAATGATGCAATCAGCGGTAGATTAAAAAAGAAAAATCTTTTTTGAAGAACAATGCAGTGTCACTTGTGAATAATCCTAAAGACATTCTAAATTAAAACATCATGGGAAGTTGTTTATAGTGAAATCCAAACTTCCATCCCTGGTAAGTGTGTAGTTAATTTTTACTTGAAGTGACTAAAGATGTTCTAAACAGAAGAACAGATAAAGATGATCTGAAGTCTTCTATTCAAAAGATGAAACTAATTTTAATTCACTATTTTTGTAGGAGTAATTAAAATGGATTTAGATGAATTGAAATGAAGATAGCTTAATATCTCTGTATCATGTAGAGAAGTAAATAGGCTGTTTGTTAAAAGCACATAATTTCAGAAAGAAGTTAGTTATATATCATTATAAAACATTTTTATTTTATAGATGTTATCTAATAAATTTCTGGTAATAAGTCCTTAGAATGCAAATTGAAAACTCGTTAAATTTTTAATTCCATGCATTATTATACAGTTTGCTTATCATATTTAAATTATATTTCACTGTCAAATAAATAAGAGATCTGTGCTTTATATTGTTAAAATAATTAAGAATTTTTTTATAGAAAAAAGTGTTATTGCTGACTAATATTGAACTAAGGAATAAGAATGCTATCTTAGAAAAAGAAAATGCAGAATTAAAGCTCCGGCTTGGCATACAGAATGCTGATGAAACTTTGAAAGAGGTGAGATTTGACGTATATATCAAAGGAAAATTTACGTATTCATTCAGATTTTGAAAACCAAATCAAAAATGTAACATTGCTACATTAAAAATTTTTTTGCCTTAATATGAGAGGATAAGTGATCTAAATATATTACTATTTTAAAAGAAACTTAATGGTATTTGTTATTATACAAGTTGCAAAATCCCTTGATGGAATCTTCTGAAAAAAAGGAAGATTTTTATAAAATCTATTTTAAACTTGGAATTCTATTAATTTGATAAAAGTAATTTTAAATTGCATATGAGTAACAAGAGTTTACTTTTGTCAATTTTGTAAATATAACTTTTTTTTGTAGTATCTTAATTATTTTGATATGTCAAAAACTGTATGTATGATTAGTATAGATTTTGAATAAAACTGTATTGATTAGAAAAGCATTAAAACTTAGGTCTCTTTTTGGTAAAAGTCACAAATCAGCAAACTTTATGAACGTGTCAAAAGAGAACTTAAAGTAAATATTTTTAATTATTAAATAAGGACTATATGATGCATTAAAAAATAAAACACTTCACCTTTTTTGAGAAATTCGTCAGTAATGTTTTTGGCGATCCCTATTTTGTAGCAATCCTTTTTTTGCTTTAGAGGAGGGGGCATGCAGAATTGCACAAACTTGGGATTGCAGACTGGTTAAATACAATCATCCAAGAAACTTAATGTGCATTCCAGTATAATGAAAATAAGAGTATCGGGTTTACTTCTATTTTTATTCTAGTCTTTGTACAGTCTTTAGATTTTTTCGAATTGATTTTTGGTTCTTAAAAGTCCTTAATTTTGATCAAATTCGGCAGGAGGTCCTTAATTCTAATCTTTTGAAATTTCTGTCTGTTTTTATGACTGCCTGTTTGGATGAGAATTAGCATTCTGGACAAATACTTTTGACGATTCATTGACAAATATAGTTATTTTTTGAATAAGTGAATAAGTTCATGCATTTTAATTTGTTACTATTTCTAATACAAACAGTGAGATATTCAAGTTTCTGAGCAAGAAGTCAAACATAAGCATTTCATTTTTTTTTAATGAAGCAATCTTAAATGACTTTTCGCTTTTGAGAATGTGAATTCTTTGTTAAATGGTTCCAAATTTGGTGACTTATCAACATTTTGGCGATTTTAAGATCAGTTTCTCTAAAAAAAAAAAAAAAAAAAAAAATTAGTATGGAAATCTGGGAATTTTTCGACGTTATTTTTTTTAAACATTATAACATTGATCATTTTCATTAAAATAATGCTAATATATTGCAATTGTATTCAAGAAATAACATTAAAATGAAACATATTTTTCGCCATCATATTATAAAGTGACATTGCTTTCCATTTTGGTGACTTGTACAATATTTTGATTCTGAAAAATAAATAAGGTAATAAATGCTTTAATTGCACTTTAGCACAATTTATCAAACAATTCTTAGCAAAAGCAAAATAGCTATGTATTTAATTTAAAATGCCTTCATTTTAATTTTTTTTTTTCATGGTAAGAGTTTTTCCCCATGTAATTGTCTCGATATGCATCACTTTTCTCAGCAAAATTAATTTTACACTTTTTTCTGATTTTTTTTCAACTTATTTCTGGTTTTTTGCTCTTACAGAATTGTAGGGGTAATTTTTCTGTAGGATTTTAGACATTGCAACTTGTAAAGTTTAGAAAGATTTGAAGGCAAAATTTATAGAATCGCGAATCTAGTAGATTCCAGAAAAATGTCTTCATGGTATTATTACGTAATGGATGTATTTTACAGAAAGTTTATGATGAACTTTTACTTTTTGGAGAATTTTTGGAAGAACAATGAAAACATATTATTTGAATGTTTTACTTCTGATACTAGAAGTCCATTTTCTTATCATGTTTATCTTTTCTTTGTTTTCTCAATGTACCATGTTTCCAAGCATGGAAAGATATCAAAAATGCTTCTAATCTTATCACATGGACAGGCATTTATAAAAAGGAATTTTTCTATTAATAAAGAAATTGAAAACTGACAATTTAAAAGATTCATCTTATGGGTTTAAGTGGCATAGCTAGGTTGGGGCAGTTTCCCCACCTGATGCAATCTCTGTGGATCCTAAATTCTAAATTTTGTTGCTCGATGTGTTACTAAATTCTGCTGTGTGGGCTTTGTAACAGCCTCTTTCCATATATCATTTCATATTTATTCTGAATGTTCATATTACTAAAGAAATAAAATTACCACCTTTTCGTAAAATGCATTTAATTTTTTTTTTTTTTAAATGACAGAAATCTTTAATTAAATACAAAAATTTTTAAATGGAGAGGAAATGTATTGAAGAAAGAAACCAAATACATAAAGAGAAAGAAAAGTATTCTTCAAAGGTAATATGTACAGTTATTATATAAATTGAGCAATTGTTTATAATTTCAGCCTTTCAGCCTATAATTTTCCTTTTCTGTTTCCTCACCAGAATGGAAATCAAGTTTTTAAACTAAGGTTTTGGGATTCTAAGACAGAATTTCTGGCATTCGCTTGCATGCTGCATTAGTTCCTAGTAGTTCTGGTAATTTGTAATTATTCGTGTGTGTTAATGTTGTCGATATTTGACTTTGTTACACGATAACTGTGTTAAATGAGTCACAAGGTTGTTATGACATATTACTGGGCCAGCTTAGATTAAAATTAAAGCGTGTAGTCTTTAACTACTACTCCACATTTTTAGTTTGAATTTACTGTTCCTGTTTAAATGGATCACTATAAGATGTAGTTAATTTTGCTAGCGTAAGAACATGTATTTGTGTTTTAAGGTCTTTTTAAATAAGAGGTTTATTTAAACCTTTATCTGACTTTCAGACCTGCCGATAATTTGCTTCATGCCTGTCAGGGATTTTGGACTATTTAACTTTTATATCATATCAAGTAAAATCTCATTGGTACATAGTCAGAGATTGACAAGTTAGGAGATAAATGGTATCTAACTAGCTAATTTAATTATTTGTAACTAACTGGTCACCCTTAAAAGTTGTCTGCATATTAAAGTGAGTTGCTGCCTTTCATTAATCTTTCTTTGTGGTCACAAGCTGCAGCACGAAAATATAAAACTTAATTGTTTGCATCTAGTGAGACAAAATAATACAGACAACTTATCATCTCTGATGCTTGAGGGGTTTATTAGCCTACATGGCTTTCAGGTTTGTTCTGATCAGCATGCACTTTCTAGGCAAGCAGCAGCAGTGTCAACAGCCAGTCTGCTGTAATGAATTATGATTTTGCTTCTCATTTTAACCTATGCCGTTGACATAAAATCTACATGCTATTTATCAAACCTCTAAACTGAACAAGTACGTGACAAAATGAGGCATAAAAGAAAAATCAATTTGGTAAATAATGCTACCTGATAAATTTTATAAAGTTGATTTTATTCTCACCTTTGTTTTATAGTTATATTTATTAAATTATGTTTAATAATAATGTATTCTACTTGTGGATCTATTTTATTCTTATTATACACTGGTGGGCACAACTTAAGCAACAGGTGTTCTTTTTGACATAACTCCACGAGATATTATCTGAGAGACATGATATTCAGAATTAAGAGAGAGCATTTTGTATTTAAACGATGACGAAAACATAATCGCTCTAAAAATGAATACAATGCATACAGTATGGAATCAAACAAAAATAGGCTTTATTGAACTCGTGGTATCGTTACACATGATTGTCTGTATACGAGGAAGAACAACAAGCAGATGTTTCTTAGTATGGGATATGCTCTCCCCTTACTGCAATGGTTGCTTCTCACTGTCTCCCCATACTCAACATCAGATTGTCCAACAGATCTTGAGGTGAGAGTGCTCATTCTTCAATCAGCATCTGTTGTTGGGTGTTCGCCGGAGAATTTAATTGTGCCTCAAGGCGTCTCCTCAAAGCATCCCACACATGTTCTATGGGATTTAAATCAGGGGAGTACGCTGGCCAATCCATTCGAGTGATATCTTCCATTTTCAGTAGCTTCTGAACAGCAGGAGTCCGGTGTGGCTGTGCATTGTCATCCATAAAAACGAAGTCTGCTTCAATTGCACCTTGGAACAGACGCACATAGGGAAGGATCACCTCCTGCCAATAGCGATCTCTGGTTACAGAACTTCTGTCGAAAACGTGGAGCTCTGTCCGCCCGTTCAGCATAATGCCTCCCCATACGAGATCCCCAGGACACCATAATGGTCTCTTTCCTTGATGTTACTGAGATTAAACCGTGTCCTTACCTCTCTCCAAATAAGTTGGCGTTGAGAATCGCTTGGGGCACTAAAACGACAGATGCTGATAAAGAGGACACGACTCCATTGATGAGATGCCTAGGTTTTGCACTCCTGGCACCAATTTAAATGGTGGCACCGATGGCCAGCTTTCAAAGAGATGCAGCGTTCAGGACGGCAGATGAATAGGCCATCTTTGTGAAGGTGTCTGGAACAGTAAACCAGGACAATTGTCGCTGGTTACTGTACACAGCTGCTGAGTTGTGGAGCTTGCTGACTGGTTTGGGGCTCTTTCCGCCTGTAGGATGATATATCGGTTATCTGCTGCAGTTGTTGTCCTGGAGCGGCTGCCACCAACCTTTCTAATAGCTGTACCTATTAGGAAGCTTTCCAAGCCCGCAAAACGACACTTTTGTTGACTTCGAAATCTTCGGCCACACTGGTCACACTATGCCCCTCCTCCAGCTTTCCGATCATTCTTCCACTCGTGAAGTCATCCAGATGATTTCTTGTAGCCATATTTCACGAAAGATTTCATTTGTACTTTCAGCGAGTGTCTTTAATTGTGTCTTTGTCCTTCCTTTTATGGTAGTCTCAAGTGGAGCGCACGCATTTTGCGTACGATCACGTAGCTGTGATGTTTTTTTTTTTTTTTTTTTTTTTTTTTTTTTTTTTTTTTTTTTCCCCGGACAATTGCATATGCATGACCTTTCTACTGAATTGCGTGTTCATTGTACCGATAGCAAGAACCTCTTTTCTGCAACTGCATGGTTATCTGATTGAAATTTGCAATGTTGCTTAAGTTTTGCACACCAGTGTAATATCACAAAAGTGAAATTCAGGCAGAACTAATATCTTTAATTAAATGTATTCATTCCTATTTGTTGATGGGTCCTTTTTTTTTTTTTTTTTTTTTTGCTAATGGTCCTTAAAAATCCTTAATTTCTATGAGCAGAAATGTGTATGAACCCTGAATAAGTTATATTGTAAATCACAGATAGCAATAAAGAACAGCGAACATGTTTCTAAAAGATGAATATCTCTCAATCCCACCGATTCCATCTGTTGGGGGGGGGGTGGAATAAGGCTGTCAGAGTAATATTAGCTAACAACAAAAGTAATATTACTAGAATGAAATAATTATCTGATGGGGCAAATTTGGCAAGTACCTGATGCTTAAACTTTAGTCTTCTTTTTCCAAGAGCAGTAATTTTTTTTAAATGTTTCTTCCTGAAGATGAAAAAAACTTGTTTCTGATTATTCTGGAATAGTTTTATTCAAATTATCTCAGTTTAAGGATAGCTGTTTGCATGCTTAAAAATTCTACATGATTATTTCTTTTTCAGTTAGGTTTGCATTCTTTTAAACTTTTCTTAAAAGTGGCGAAGACTAACATGTGTGTTAATTAGTTGAGTAATCTGTTTTCAACTCTTCCTTTACTGCATTTACTTTTATTTCATGTAATCATAATATACTTTTTTAAATGTTAACTACTTGTATTTAATCTAAAATTAATAAGTATTTTTCCCCTTCTTAATTTAGTTATTATTCTGATCATTTGTTTATTAATTCTGTATGATGATTTATTTTCTGTTGACTTTTTTAATGGATTTCTTTGCTAATTACCAGGCCAAGAAGGAAAAGGACGAAGCATCTGATTGTGCACATCCCAGAGTGTCTGACTGCAAGTCTCTTGAGTATGCATCACTCATTAATGAACCTCTGCAGAAGGGACAGGACATGCAGATTCTTACTCTCTGGATGATGCAATACGTTTACTTACCAGCTGTAGCGAGGTAATTATTTTTTTTTAAATACATAATCTGAAAGTGAAGTTTTATTTTATTGAAGAAATATATGCATAATGTCAAGACAGTTTAATCCTTATTTATTCATTATAGTAAAATTCTATTGCTTGAATTTTTGCAGAAGTTAAATAAAAAAAAAAAAAAAATCTGTGCTGCATTTATTGGGTTGGAGGGAAAGTTCTGTCTATTTTAAATAGGCAGGTGATTTTTCTTGTAAATAAAAAAAAAAAAAAACATCTGGCTAGTGAGTCAATCGGATTTTTTTTTTTTTGTTTTGTTTTTTTAGCTGCTGTATAATATAAAAGGTGCCCTTTTTTACCCTTGACACTGCATTTTATATGAATTCCAAAAAAGAAGCAAGGCATCTGTTGCATGTAAAAATTTATGTGGGGTATTTGGAAAAGATATTGTAAATGTTCGTACTTGTCAAAGATGGTTTAGCAAATTTCGTTCCGGGGACCTGAGCCTCAAAGAAAGTGTTCGATCTGGACGACCATCCAAGATGGATAATGATGTTTTGTGATCCATGTTGGAAAATAATCCACATTTAACAAGTCGAGAAATTGCAGAAGAGTTTGGCATTCATCAAACAACTTTTGGAGATCACATTAAATCTCTTGGGTTTGTGTTAAAGCAAAGTGTTTGGGTTCCACATGAATTAACGGAAAAGAATTTGTCTGATCGTGTAAGAATATGTTTTTCACATCTGATTAGACACAATGTGGAGCCGTTTTTGGACAGGCTGGTTACTGGAGATGAAAAGTGGATTCTTTACGAGAATATTAAAAGAAAAAAATCTTACTGCAAACCAGAAACATCATCAGCAACAGTTCCAAAACCAAGTATCCATCAATGAAAAGTACTGCTTTGTTTGTGGTGGGACAGGAAAGGTCCAGTGTATTACGAGTTGCTGAAACAGGGAAAAGACATCAATGCGTATCTGTACTGCAATCAGCTGGATAAATTGAATGCAGCTATCAAAGAAAAAAGGCCAGCATTAGCGTCCAGAAAAGGAATAGTGTTCCATCACGATAATGCTCGTCCGCATACTGCAGTGGTGACACTACAAAAACTGAATGCGTTAGGATGGGAAATCCTTAGTCACCCCCCGTATTCACCTGACATTGCACCCTCTGATTATTACCTGTTCAAATCTCTGCAAAATTATCTAACGGGAAAAAAATTCAAGTCTTTTGAAAGTGTTTCTAAGGCAGTTGCTGACTATTTTAACTCCATGGATGAGAACTTCTGCAAAACAGGAATTTACAGGTTACCTGGAAGATTGCAACAGGTTGTAACAAATAACGGAGCATATATAATTGATTAATATTAAACACATATTTTTATAAATGAATTCAAATATTTTCTTTAAAATACGACAGAACTTTCCCTCCAACCCAATATATTTTTTCAGGCAAGCCTTTTGCAAAATATACTCAAATTACAGTGTTTAAATTGGGATATGATTAATTCGGGTTTATGCCCTTAATTTTACAGTTGAGAAAAATTCCTTGTCTGTTGGGAAAATCTTTGTATTCTCATAAATTTTTCATTAAAAAAGTTGCTGTTTTAGTATTTATGTTATCACAGCATCCAGGAAAGAAAATTGCCATTGAAAGTATATAACAAGAAAACAAAAAGTGGCAAGCATAAAAATACGCAGAACTAGCAAAAATATTGCACCAAGAAGTCTCATTAACACCATGCCATGTGTTTTCAGTACCATATTGCTATATTTGGCTTTATTTCTTTCCATATGCAATTGGCCTAGTTCTACACATGCTTGGAAACAAGCAGAAAATATTCTCTTAATTTCTATAAATACCTATTGTTTGGGGAAAATGTCAACCTATATTATTTTCTCTCTTTTCATGAATAAGCTTTCATCAGTTTCCACTATTCTGTAATGATTGTTGAATTTAATATTAAGGTGAGGTATACTGAATTGTTATGTAATATAATTATTCCTAACAACCTGTATATTATGATTCTTAAGACTCAGCAAACAACCTTGTACTATAAGTAATGGTAGTACTGAAAGGAATTCTCAGCCTAACAAATTGTGTTTGTACAGCATTTTTCTTCCGGTAGGAAGAAAGATGAGAGACTCATTTAAATTTCATTAGGTGGTTATTTGAGCACAATCTTTATGCAGAATATTTTTTTATAAGGCACCAGCAGCAGAGAAGTAAAGTGGCTGAACACTGGTAGCTCACTCAGTTTGAATTTCAGTGAATGTGCTGGATTTATGGGCATTTTTGCGTTTTTTGCCATAAGTAGCATGGATACAAGCCAGCTTCCCTAATAAAGTTCTTGACGAAGGCATCTTTCTCCTTATATATATATATATATAGCTTTCGTATGCTTTGGTGTAAACCAATAAACAAATCGGGGTACTCGAACCCCGGAGAAAGAGCTGATTATTTGTGGAAATTAGAACGTAAATTCAAGTAGTTTTTTCTAAAAAAAAGGGGGGGATTCTGCAAAAGCATCCATTCCCTTAAGCAGACAGCATTCACGTTCTTTAATGTAATCCAGTTGTAATTTTTAATAAATTTAGTAATGACTTGGAATATATCTTATTACAGAGAAAGTAGCATTCTTTTTTGAAGAAAATTTTTTTTTATTAATCAGCTTACGCGAGTTCTCTGTACCTCTTGAATTATGTAAGATTACAGACATTTTATCTCAAGTGCACGAGACTCTGAATCTGAAAGCTTTTTTTTGGTGTGTGTGCGTAAATGATTTTTAGCTTTAAGAATAGATTTTAGAAGGCACACACGCACAAAAGATACTTCCCTGTTATGCACACACACACTGTACTTTTCCATTAATGGTGTTGGATGATTTTATTTGAGTAGTTGTAATACTATTAAATAACAAATCAGAGTTATTACTTATATGAGAAATGCAATCCATTATCCACAGTTGCATTTGAAAATATTTTTTTTAATATAGAAATTTAGGTCAGCATCAAAATGAATAACATGCAAAATTATTTCTTTTTTCCAGACTGATGCTCTTCTTGATCTACTACAGCAGTGTAGCGAAGATCTTATGCAGTATGAGGATTCCAGCAGCAACCTGTGTCAAAATGGAGAAGACAGAAAGGTTAGTTTGATTGCATAAACATCTTAAAATATTACAGTATGCAGTAAATGTATATCAGCTTTTTTTTTTTTTTTTTTCAAATGATTAGTTTTGAAATATTCATCTGTATTTTTCGCATGAAAAATTCATACTGTATGCTGCATTTGTATAATAAACAGTGCATTTCATTTAAACTTATTTCCACGAATTATTCTAACATAATTTATCAATTCTTCAAGGCAAGTTGAAAAAACGTCAAAAACTGAAAAATTTGAAAATAACATGAGTGAATTTTCATAACGAATGTAAAACTTTCTCAAATATACGTATAGGAACTGGGAGACCATATTAAAAGTTAAATTTCTTTATATGTCTGAAATATATACAGTCAAAAATGTCTGAAATATATACAGTCAAAAGTCGTTAATTCAGACACCCATAATCCGGAATGATCTATAATCCAGACCTCAAAGCTGCAAACTATCTGCGAATGCGTCGTGTTGACGCATGCACGTAAGACCTTTACGGCTGCGAATATGCTTGTGCACGTGCTCAAAATACGTTTACGAGTGCGCGTTTAATATATAATGGACGGTATAAGCTAAGCTAAAATTATCTATTTCAGTTAATGTTGCAGATTGTGTTGTTCCTTAATCTTCGAATTGGATCCGGCTTATTATTTTTTGCAGACTGTTAGAGCAATTTTATAAAAGTAAGCTTGAACTTTCGATTATGTCAAATAGAATTTCTTATATATATTTATTAATATGTAAAGGATCTACAAAGCGAAAGTATATTTTGAAGTTCATTAAAGAAAAAGTGGAATTGCTGGAAAAAAATATCCTTTGTTTATCTAAACTTTAACATTTGTTTATCTTTAACGCCACAGCAGCGTGCAATGAATTGGAAGTTGATCTGTCAGCACTATCCTTATCTTCAGGGCAGATGTTTTTATTTTATTTGGCTTATAATTCCTTACTAAATGTAGTATTTCATCTCGATGTACTCCATCTTTGATATGATTTAAATTAAATTCCTCGTCATTATAATTCGCTTCCAATAGTGAAGAAAGTGACACAGAGTTTATTGAAAACAAAAAAATTTCGATTGACAAATTAGTCGGTATTCTCGACACAGCAATTATAGAACTTAAACAGCGGAACTTTGTAACTGAACAAGAAATTATGTCTGTTTATATAATTAAAGAGAAAGTACTGTCACATAAAAAAACGAAGCAACTTAAACAACTTGCATTGAAAGAAATGTTAAATAAAGTAAACAAATAAATATTAAGCTTTTTTTTTTTTTTTTTTTTTTTGTAAATTTTGATACCCTTTAGATCATAATTGCTCTTTATTTCATAAATTACGGTTTCATGTTTTTAATTTCATAATTTCTGCATGCCATCTTACCAGATTTAAACTAATGATCTATAATCTGGAAACGCCGAAGTCCCGACGAGTCCGGATTAACGACTTTCGACTGTGTGTATATATATATATTTATATTTATATTTGTCTTTGGCAGTGTGTGAATATTTTCAGCATTTAAAACACTTTTATAATTGACTGTGACCAATGATTTTAAAAATATAGACCATGTAAAGGCGGTGGGTATATATATATATATATATATATATATATATAATAACAGAATTTTTTTTGAGATGGGGTATTGATTGTTGTTTAAAGGATTTGTTTTTTTTACATTTATTAAATTCTTTGTTGCATGTATAGGATTATTTGAAATTTATATTAATTTCAAAATTTTCTTCTTTGGGAAGCATTAGTTTCTATATATATACACACACAGGAGATTTAAGTAAACAATTTAATTAACTGCAATAAATTACCTAATATTTTCACCCAAAGCTGCAAAGTAATAAAATAGTAATTTATTTTCTAATAGATTTATTTAATCTTTATTTAGTATATTTAATATTATATTAAGTATATTAATTTATTTATTAGTAATTTAATTTTAGTATAATAATTTATTTAGTATATTTTAAGTATATTTAATTTATTTAATATAATTTATTTAATATATTTAATCTTTATTTAGTATATGATCTCTCCACTGACAAAAGTAGCTAGAATTCTGTTGAAATTAAGTAACTCATTAGTATATGTAAAATTAGATCTTGAATAAATTTAAATCGAAACATTAAAAAAGTATGAATAAAAGTGAAAATACAATCAATAAACCAAGTAATTATTGTCATTGATTGAAAATTAGTTGACTTCTCAAGGAGAACAAACTAACTTCTGATCAATTAACAATAATTAGTAAATGCATTTTGTCATTTTCTCAAGTAATAATTACTATGACAAAAAAGCTTTTTTTGTAAGATGAATTAAGTTAAATGAGATGAGTTAAAGTAAAATTCATAATTAGAATTCAGTAAGAAATTGGCGGTACAGTCAAGTTTTAAAATTGGAATATATTCTTATAAGAGAGTTTTATTTTCCTTAACATATTAATCATATTCACTCCTTTAACTCAGTTCAAACTTTGTAAAAATTATCAACACAGTGCAATCTTTGTAAAAAAAAATTAAACAAGGAAGAAAAGGTGAATTAAAATATATTCACATAAAAGGAAATATTAGCTTTTTTTATAATAATTCTTGAGAAAAAGACTAAACACTTCCACATTTTTTAAATTATTGTTAATTGATAAGAAGTTTGTTCCCCTTGAAAAGTCAACTAATTTCCAGTCAATGATGATAATTACTTGGTTTTATTGATTGTATTTTCACTTTTAATTATACCTTTTTAATGTTTCCATTTTTTAAAGTTTATTCAAGATTCAATTTTTAAATATTCTAATGAGTTACTTAATTTCAATAGAATTCTAAGTACTTTTTGTCAAAGGTGATAATGTACTAAAAAATCTATTAGAATTATATATATATATATGCATAATACAGAGACTTGGATATAATTATGTAAAAGCACTGATAGCATATAATGTTGAATCTGTAATTAACAGCAGACTTGGCAATCGAAGCAGATTAAATATTCATTTTTATTTCAATTGACATTTGTAGCCACAATTCACTTAGTACTCTAATTGTGCCCATTAAAAAATATTTACATTTCTGATATTGATGCAATAGGAATAGAGCAGGTAGGCAGCATCTTAGCAAAAAAAGAGAAGGGAAAAATGCATAATTATTCCAGTATGGCAACTTAGTAAGAAAAAATTTTGGTTCAGGCTCTGAGTTATCTATATCTACACCATCAGTGTTATGCAAGTCATATGATAAAGATTGATCTAGAAATGCAACAGTCCAAAAATAATTATTACTATTTTTAGAAATAGAGAGGAAAAAACCCAAATTAAAAATTGCCAATTAAGGAGCTATTTCTCGCTAATTTAAATTATAATTTTGATTTGAAATTTATCTTGCATATTCGTCCCCCCTTCAAAGAGAAAAAAGGCGAGAAGAAAACCTTTTCAAGAGATAAAGCACGAGCATTAGCAAATGAAGAGAAATAATTTGAAAAATACAAATAATAAAATTTTGTCTTAAAATTACTGTTTGAATAATTGAAAAATATAACCTTTGATAATGTTTTACTATCCTGAAAATTTTCATTCAAAACTTTTCATATTATATCGCAATTATAAAAATTTTTCACACTGATTACTTATTTTTGGTAATTGTTAACAAATTTCAAAATTTCATAACTAATTTTCATGACTTTAACATTTTAACATCAAAATTTCATTATTATTCAAATATTTTAAATTATTTCAATAATAATATTAAATAAGTTCTTGTTTTTTACATTTAATTTTTTATCCTTACACAAAACTGGAAGGCCCCAGTTTTCTCCAAATACACTAGCGTGAAAAAATTAAGCAACAATGTAATTTTAATCAGATAGCCATGAAATTGTAGAAAAGGGGTTCTTGCGTTCAGTACAATGAACACGCAATTCAGTAGAAAGGTCATGCGTATGCAAATGTCAAGAAAAAAAGGTCACAGGCTACGTGAGCGTACACAAAACGCGTACGGTCGGCGCGCTCAACTCGAGATTACCATAAAAGGAAGGATGGAGATGCAATTAAAGACATTCGCTGCAAGTACAAGGAGTTCTTTCGTGAAATATGGCTAGAAGAAATGATCTGGATGACTTCACACGTGGAAGAATGATCGAAAATCTGGAGTAGGGGCGAAGTGTGACCAGTATAGCTGAAGAGTTCGGAATCAACAAAAGTGGCGTTTCGCGCGTTTAGAAAGCCTTCCATACCATAGGTACAGCTATTAGAAAGGTTGGTGGTGGCCATCCCAGGAAAACAACTGCAGCAAATAACCGATATATAGTCCTTGCAGACGAAAAGAGTCCGAAACCAGTCAGCAAGCGCCACAGCTTCAACAACTGTGAACAGCAACGGGCGACAATTGTCGTGGTTTACTGTGTCCAAACACCTTCACAAAGGTGGCCTATGCGCCTGCCGTCCTGAACGCTGCATCCCTTTGAAAGTTGGCCATCGGCATCACCGTTTACAGTGGTGCAAGGAGCGCAAAAACTGGGCATCTCATCAATGGAGTCGTATCCTCCTTACGGATGAGAATCGTTTTAGTGCCACAAGCGATTCTCAACACAAATTGATTTGGAGAGAGGTCGGGACACGGTTTAATCTCAGTAACATTATGGAAAGAGACTGTTACGGTGTCCTGAAGATCTCGCCTAGAGAGGCATTATGCTGAATGGGCGGACAGAGCTCCACGTTTTCGACAGAAGTTCTGTAACCAGAGATCTCTATCGTCAGGAGGTGATCCTTCCCCATGTGCGTGTGTTCCAAGGTGCCATTGGAGCAGACTTCGTTTTTATGGATGATAATGCACGGCAACACCGGACTGTTGCTGTTCAGAAGCTACTGAAAAGTGAAGATATCACTCGAATGGATTGGCCAGCATGCTTCCTTGATTTAAACCCCATAGAGCATGTGTGGGATGCTTTGGGGAGATGCTTGTGACACGATTACATCCTCCCGGGAATACCCAGCAACTGAAACAGATGCTGATTGAGGAATGGGCACTTTTACCTCAAGATCTGTTGGACAATCTGGTGCTGAGTATGGAGAGACCGTTCGAAGCAACCATTGCAGTAAGGGGAGGGCATATCCCACACTAAGGAAGACCTGCTTGTTGTTCTTCCTCTTGTACAGACAATCATGTGTAATGACACTATGAGTTCAATAAAGCCTATTTTTGTTTGATTCCATACTGTATGCATTGTATTCATTTTTAGAGCAATTATGTTTTCGTCATCGTTTAAATACAAAATGCTCTCTCTTAATTCTGAATATCATGTCTCTCAGATGATTTCTTGTGGAGTTATGTCAAAAAGAACACCTGTTGCTTAAGTTGTGCACACCAGTGTACAAACATATCCATCTATTAGGCAAGTCCTTTAAACTGACTCTTGTATTAATTCATTAGCGGTTAACGGCTGCTCTAGCAGTTACTTATAAAGGCTTCCGTTCTTTATGTAAGGTAACTGCCCTTTTTGAACTGCACATTCCATTATAAACATAAAAAAAAATTTAACCTAACTCTCTCATGTATAAAATAAATAAACAAAAATAAAAATAATAATAATGTAATAAAAATTATAAAGGTTTGGAGCCTCCAAAGTTTATATTGTATGCTGAGGGTAAAAGGAACAATTATGCGCAGGTAGAAATAGACCTATTTCTAAACCAGTACTTTCTCAACGTACTCTACATTCAGTTATTCATTTCATGATTATAACATTGATTCACTATAAATTACTTTTGTCATTTCACTTTTTAATTACTTACACATAAATTTTATTACAATTATTCAAAATTAAAATTCTTGATGTTTTTAATATTCATTATGATAATTCTGAAAGTTATATTTTCTATATTATTACTCAAAATCCATTTCTTTATCATTTTGTATGCTAATATTCAAAATTTAATTTGTATTTTGTCTACTTCATTCTCAGAATAATAATAAAATGTTTTAACATTAATTCAAGTAGTTTTAAAACAATTCATAAACATGATTAATCATTAAGAGAAGAAAATCTTGTTGCATTTTACTTATTTTTAAACAGTAATTAATATGCTTTTCTTAAATTGCTAAATTAAAGCTTTAAAATTTTAATTTAAATCGAAGGTATGCTAAGCTGAAAATTCATAGTCGTTTGGATGACATTTCTGTTAATTTTCATCTGAAATTGGAATAGACCAAAAACATCTGGCCTGATCCTTGAAATCACTTTAAAACATTTAGATTGAATTTTTAAGTACTAATATATCCCAGTAAACGATGATAGAATATTTTCTTTCTAGTTTTAGATATTGCCATTGAGCAAGCATCCTATATAAGCGAGAATTTGAATAGATGGTTAAAATATTATGCAGGCACAAAAGAAATATTTATCACAATGAATAGATATTAACTAATCGCATTACTTTGAAGATCCATAAATTCATTTTGTAGATATACATCTGTGGAGCATTAATTTCATCTTGATACACTGGAAACTTTTTACTGAGACAAATTAATTTTTCCATTGCTGTACCGCACTTAACAATGTCCTGTCTGATTCATTGTAATGTAATGATGTAGGAACTTTGATTACATAGATACTGAGGAAGGTATATCCATTATGAAGAGCAACTTTGTCAACAGAGGCAGATTACATATTCATCTCTATTTTAAGAAACATGTTGCGACCACAAACAACTTAGCACACTACTTGTGCCTATTTCAAAACATTTGCATTTTGATAACTTTGCAGTAAGAAGAGAGCAACAAAAAGCGGTTGTAGTTAGTGTAGAAGTTAATAGTTAAGTGTAGAAGCAAGCAAGTTGTGCTCAAGATGAAATCTTAATTCAGAATGAGTTAGTTTCAATTTGTGATGCATTTGGTTGGCTAATTAATGCTGTAAATTATTATTGGCTGTTTGAGTTTTAGTTCTGTTTATATCACCAGCATTATGTAAGAGTCATATGGCATGGTGACAAACAAAATGCAGAAAATTGCAGAAATTGAGTCTTGATCGAGATATCTCAGCAGGAATTGGTTTGTCGTTGGTAGCTGTGCAGCCACATATTATTAAAGTAGCTCCTCTCTTAGATGTATAAAATGCCCATGGAGGAGTGGAAGCTCCTTCCAGTATAATCAAGATATGATGAAGCTGAAACAGTGTATTATCAAAGCATACTATAATGTGGAGGACAAGGCAATGGCAAAGCAAGTAGCAAGTTTCAGTAATGTATAATTTTGCCTAGCTGTAGTTCTGTTTTGCAATAGTTTTTAGAGTTCCAAGGCCTTTTCTGATGATGTACATTTTGCCACACTCCTAACCATTAATTTGCATATTGTTATGTATTTCTATATGAACTAGAAAATCAAATTTAAATTTGAAAAGTCGCCTGCAGATCCCGACTGTACACACTTGGACACTTATTCTTGAATTACATTTTTAAGAATTGCTTATATATGATGTATAGTTTTACTACAGCTGTACATGGAAATGCATTATACCTCAGTTTTGATTAAATTCGTAGAGAGTGTGCAAAATATGTAATAGAAACTAGCTTTAAAAAAGAATTAGCATTTAAAAGATGTAAAGTTTATCATTCAGACTAATTGAATGTCTTTAAAAATAAGTGATGTGATTGGGAGGAGGTAATCTTCCCATCGTTAATATTGAAACTAAATATAAGTTATAAAGATGTTGAATTTTGTATTGCTTTGTACTTGGTTGTATCAGCTATAAAAATATATATAATTATTTAATAAAGTAACACATATAATTTAGTGCAGTGTAGTGTCTTTCTGCAGTATTCAAAGGACTACTATAATTTTATAAAATAAGTTATCTGTAATGCATTGATAGCAAATCAAAAAGTATGAATTCCAGAATAATGTCACTCATTGTTTACTGAAGTATATCCGTAGAACAACTTGTATTTCTATGGAAATATTGTGGAAGTCTCAGCTGCTTTATCTCTTTATGAGTCATATTTAATCATTAACAGTAAATATATTTGCTTCTCATACCACATACTTAGAACAATAAATCAATAATTGTTCCCATTTTAAATAAATTTATGAGTGCATAAATTTATGCTGTAATTCTTTTTTGCAGTGCATACAAAAGGAAGTAATTTTTCTTATCAGTATGTAACTTTATAACGTTAAAGTTTCTAATTGTAGGATTCTGTAGCATAGTGAAATTAAATATCGACTTTATATATCAGTTTTTCTGTTAATGCGCATACTTGTTGTTTTGGAGTGAATATTTCTAATTTTTTCCCTTCTTTTCCTGTTTTCTCTTCATTAAGTATATATATATTAACTATCAAATTTTTTTTATTGTAATTGTTTACTGCACATATTTTCCTTTTAAATGCAGTGTGTTTTCATGAATACTTGTTGTTCATTTTCTTGCAATTAGACTGTTTTTCATTGAAAATAATAAATACTTTATATTTTAATGGATGACAAATATATGCATTTAATATTTTGACTTTGAATTATAGAACATCTCAGATCCAAAAGTGGTGGGGACCTCATCAAAAAGCGTGGAATCCCACAAAGAACTGATTCATTTCGACCACATTTATTATAAGCAGGAAGAAGCTGATGCCTGTCCAGATGTCAGTACTGCTTTGTCTTTACCAGAAAGTGAATTATCCACAAAGGAAATAAATTTGGACCAATCTCATATTAGTGAATCAGATTGTGTTGAAATTACAGATTCTACAGACATTCCAACTATTCACATTACTTCTGAATCTGATTCCTTCAATCCTGTTTTGCATTTTGAAAGTGAAGTGTTTCCTGTGGATGATTTCAATAGTCAGTTGCTGTATCCTGCTGATACCACCCGGTGTGTTAGTCCAACATCTAGTGATGCAGGGTATGATTCTTCATTTTCAGCGTCTTCACCTTCCAGTGCAAGCACGTCGTGGGATGAAACGCTAACAGAACTTTTTCCTTCTTTGGTGTAACATGGTGTGGTGATGGACATTTGAAATCCTTTAAAGAATTAATATATTTAAAAAATTTTATATATTGTATATATATGGTGCCTTTGTGAATAAAATCACTTACTGTGTAAATTGCAAGATATTTTTTTCTTATTAGCAATAATAAATGCAAAAATTTCTGAAGCTAACTTTGGGAAATACACTGGTGAAATAAAGTAAGAGAATTTGCATATTTTATTGAATTGCTTGAAAAGAACTGAACTGAAGGAAAAACCACTGCTTTTAGATAAAAATGCAAATCTTGTATGGCAAATACGTAAGCGCACATGTGTGTGTAGGCGGAGCCAGCAGAAAAGCAGGCTTTATAAGTGCATAGAGGGTAAGATGAATTGCGCTCGCTACCACACCTTGGCAAATTTCTTGATGTTATCTTGCAGCAATTGGTTAAATTCACATTGGAACAGTAAAAATGAGTAACCACCAACGTTTAGCTGATGGAATGAGGAAGCGATTTGTGGGGAGGCAGGCCAATCGCAAGTCTAGATATGCAGAGAGTTTAATTTAATGCCCAGCGTCGTGTGTAATCTATGGAAACAGTTCTAGGATACTGGATCCATAGAGAGAAAGCCTGGGCTAAGGTCGTCCAAGAGCCATGACGGCCAGAGAAGATCGCTATTTGTCCATTTTAGCGAGGTGTAACAGAGGGGCTACAGCTTTCCAGCTCTCTCGGGACCTGTATGCAGCCACAGAAACCCGCGTAACAAGGGTGACTGTTTCCAAAAGACTGAATGAGAGAGGTTTGTTTGTGTCCCACTCGCGTCTAGGGATAGGAGAATCTGATTAGCATGGTGCAGGCAGCATAGTGCTTGTAGTACGGGGCAATGGGCGATCATTCTGTTCACTGATGAGTCCCGTTTTAACCTAAAAACTGCTTCTCACCGTACTTTCATATGGAGAGAGCCAGGGACCTGCTACCTACCCTTCAATGTCTACGAAATCAACAGTTATGGCAGTGGCGGTGTAGTGTTATGGGCAGGCATCATGTTGGATGGCCGCAAACCTCTCCACATGTTTGACAAAGGGCTCTGTGACTGGTGGGAGGTATAAGGATGAGGTCTCAGAGCCCTATGTTTGCCATTTCTGGTGTGCAGTTTTATTTGTATTATTCAACCTATGCTCACACCAAATTTTATTAAAATCTGTCCAGTAGTTCTGGAGATCATAGATCAAATATGAAAATTCTCTTAATTTCTTTGCAGAATGTATGTAGTGTGTACATATCTCAGTTTTTGAATACTGATACTTTTTTCAAAAATCTCGGCATTTAAAAAAATGTATATTTTTTAGAGTAATCTGCATACAGAAAACAATTTGCTCCTTCGTGAGAGATGGTAAAAATTTTTACTTGGCTTATTGAATGGAATTGAACATACAGAACGTAATGAATGGCACTTAAATATGTATGTAATAATGTAAAATATAAATGTGTTTTATATTTTACAAGTTGTTCACCTACTATCCAGTAACGACCAAATACTAAACACATAGTTAAGATTTGTTAATTTCCTGCATGTTACCAGTAATTTTAATAATTATTTCATGCATGTTTAATTAACTGAATGCATCTGAATAGTAACCAGTGTAGGACTTGCGTATAAGCTACACAAGCTATACCCCAAAAATTTTAAATATAGTATAGCAGGGCTCCATATTTCAGGTCCACATCAAGTATAAATCCAGCCCTGATAGTAACCCTTAAACAGGACAAGTTTTGAACAGCATGGCTTCATTTATCTATTTTTTAATAAATCCATTGGGGAATCATGTTTGGAGATAAGCAAATATAAAAGGTGAGGTATGTCATACATAGTCTTGTTAATTGTTACTTAAGGTGAATTTAAAAGTTGTATCCATTAAATATTTTTAACATTTTCATGTTAATTTACTGTATAAAATATTTAAGAAACATTATACAACTAAATATCTGTATATTGGTTATAAACCTGTTTCCAGGTTAAGAAATGCATACTGTAGGTTGGCGATGGTGATCATATGATACAATTATAGTAAATTTGCACAAAATTTATAAAGTTCTGATTAGTAAGTTATTTTTTAATTATTTTAATATAAGAAATAGGTCTGTAACATGTAGATTTTACTCTAAAACAAGCTGTCAGAATCATGATGGGACCTACTTTCACCTTCCCCCCAAAAATGGGAGGTAAGGGATTGCATAAAATTGAATTTTATTAAGAATAAAATTTTGAAAATAACACATTTCTTTAAATTGTAATTCAGAGGCATTTTTTTAATCAAAGTTTTTAAGCCTTAAAGTACCTTTTAAAAGTATGTATTTTTAAACGTTTTATGTTGTGAACTCGATTTTATGAACTTGTATTCTTTTAACACCAATAATCTGTAACTGAAAATGTAATTTGCATTCAGTCTCTTTGCTAGATATTAAAGTTACCCCATGCTTTAACTAATAATTACTAGTTTCTTCTTACTTGACATAGTTAGAAAATCGAAATTTACCATCAAACAACATACTGTGTAAGAATTTTTTTGGGCACATTTTTATATAAATGGAAAGTATTGAACTCTAGATTATTTTGCTGCAGAGGTGTAAATAATTTGGCTCCAACTGCATGAATGAAAATCCCCCCCCCCCGTCTTTCTATAGTCCAACTGCGCAAATCAAAATTTCTTTCCCCCGTTGCCTACAGGGTTACAATTTAACTTTTCAAATCCAACTGTAGCCAAGAGGAAACTAAAAATAAAGAAATAGAATTACATATCTCAAGAACAAGTAAAGAATATCAAATAAGCAGGCTAATTACTTGAATTACAGTAATATAAATGGGAGAGCTAACAAAGAAAATAAAAGGTATTGGTAAACATATACATATTTCATTAATTACAATATTAGAGCAAAGAGTATTATAATAATATCATAAATTAAATAATTATAAAGCATATCTATTATATTTTTTATAAGTTGCATCAATAATAGTCAAGATGTCTGAACTAGACTGAAAAATTTAATATGGTTAACTGGCGTGCAAAAGATTATTCTGAATCAAAGTGTGCTAGAAATTTTTTTGTTTTTGTTTGTTAATTAAGTAATCATGTAAAAGTTAGCAGAAATTAATAGTTAAATTAAAAAAAAAAGCTTAGCATGATATCTATTATAACAACATTACTATGCATTTGGAACACTGACGTATAAATTGTAAATAAATTTAAATTATTATGCTGAGAAGCTTTTTCTAAAATTTATCTAGAAGAAAAGAATTATACTAGATAAACAGTACTGCAAATTAATATTGTCAGTCAGGCCTCTCAATAATTAAAAGCTTACTTTTTTAACCAAAAACAAAAAATTAGATGCAAAAGTTTGTGTAGTTTGGAAATATCTGAACATATACTTAATTAGAACATTAAATTAAATTAATAACAAGCTAATTAATTAATGGTAACATTAAGCTTAATTTCATTCAATCTAAAACAAGCAATTGATCAGGAGCTCCTCATAAGTGAAGTTTCATTGCTAATTTACGTACTAAATAGTATTTGCACTTGTGAAACAAGTGATTAATGTATTGATAGTCAACAGGAACTCGTGAAGTTAAGTGGTACAGTGCGAAAAGAAAATTCTGGAATAAACGTGTTAAGAAAACTAGATGAAGAAATAATCCTTAACTTATTGATATCCATATAAACTCTATGCTTTTGGAAAAGGTTTCATATAATTTGAACCAAGGTATCGATCATCAAATTCAAGTTAATTTCTTTCCTTATTTTTTTTTATTAAAGGGATTTTGTAAAAAGCTATGCTAAGATGAACATTTTTGCAATATTTTTAAAGAATAAATTAAAAAAAATATTTTTGCTTCATGAACTGAAATTTTTACGATACATTTTTATGTAGTAAATAAGTACAAAAAAAAGAAAGACCTTGGGAATTTCTGGGATTAGAAACTCGAGTAAAACTACAAATGTTTAGTGACTTTTTTCCGCTTGATCATAAGACCTTTTGAAAATTGGGCAGGAGATACAGCACACGTAAGAACAAAAGTGGGCTGAATTAGAGATTTACATGTTTCGTAAATGAGGTAAACTTATCTGTATGCCATTATGAAATATTTGGAATGTAGCATAAAAGCATCAGCGAAAAAGGCAATGGGCAATCTAAATCATGGTAACGTAAATGTATAACATTATAAATATCAGTTATTAATTTCAATACTGCTGAAAAAATTATAAATGAATTCTATTATAAATCTCATGAACTTGTTGCATTATAAATTTCAACAGTTAGAAATAATATTAGCGTGATTTTGCGACCATCTTTGTTAACAAAATATCTCAAATAAGTAATTTTACAAGTAATTCAGCCTGAAACTAGGTTAGAAAATAAGCTACGTGCTGAAGATTAAGCTTTACCAAGGCGTTAGAAATATTTTCTGTTAACTAGAGTTATGGTGCAAGAATTTGTAAAAATTATCATTTAAATATAAGTTGGCATAAATACAATACAAAGTATATGAATTCGACAGAAACATCTTCTGTTAACTAGAGTTGTGATGCAAGAATTTGTAAAATTATCATTTAAGTATAAATTGGCATAAATACAATACAAAATATATAAATTCTACATACACGAAAACTTGAATATAGTGCAACAATATGTGAAAAAGGAATGGATAAAAAGGGAACTCAAAATCCCAAGATATGAATATAAGGAAGTTTGAATTTTTTTGCTAATTATGAAAATTCTGCAGATGCTCATAATTATCGATTTATTAATTAAATGTGTATTAGAAATTAAATATATACCAAAGTACACCAGGTAGAGTAACTGGAAAACAGAATAAATATTTAAACGCTTCTAGTATTAAAATATACTTTGTAAGAAATAACCTTGAAATAATTTCAGTGACTAAAAATGGAAAGCTTAATACGGAAATATATTGCAAAATATTAGTGTGAATTTAGAACGACTTAAGAAATCCAATTTTTAGATTTAATAAAGAGAATTGTTTAAATTAAATTTGAACTGTTTACCTAAAATGGTAAACTTGAAAGTTAAACCAATCTGCTATCTAAGAAGATCTGTTAATATACTCATG